AGAGGTCATTGACCCTTCCTTTGGTGATAATTTTTTTTGTCTCTTCATGGGCTACAAATTTGCCGAAGAAATTATTCCAATATTTTGCGTCGTTAAAAAGATATTGATGACCGTATATAACACAAAAAGGGGATTTTTGGCACTTCAAGGGGGCGTATCTGGGGGGTATATGAATTTGGGGAAAAAAATTTGATGCCAAACGTGTTATTTTGGACCCTTCTACCACATCCAATAGGAATTTTGAAAAAAAATTCTGATACGCTGAGCATGTTTACTGGTCAGTAATTTTGCAGGACATACGCGGATAACTTCGCTAGACATTAATTCGCCAGACATTAATGCACGTAGCTTTTATGTTGTAATTTTATGCTGCCGCATAAAAATTTAGGTTACTATGCAATATTCTACTACGTATGCATATCATATAATAAAATAGAGCCATTTGAAGAAAGATCACTAAAGTGTAGTTGTGCCCTTTCGACCAACGAACTTATATACGTATACAAAATCAAATAAAAACCTCAATCTAGGTGAAGAACGAGTGACGAAACCAAAGGACCGAGTACGACATTTCCCCCTTTGCTAAGCGAAATTAATCCGATATACGGCGCTGATCACTATATGTCATTCCACAATAATATATTTTTTGGCTTGACAATATATAAGCTCTTCATTCAACATGCATAACTTTTGAACGGTCGAGTAAAAAAAGGAAACATATCATAAAATATTCTTCTTACGTTTTTCATAAAAAAAATTAAATTTATTTGTTTAAAAATAACAATAATTTCAATTCTTTTTTCATAGAATGAACAAGAATCCAATGTAAAAAGTAATACCAATGCGACACCTACCGTTAAAATGCGAAAGGAAACTTATTTGGGATTGTAGCATTTTGGTCCGCCATGACAGCATCTTTAATGAAAAATGTTAGTAAAATATTTTATGACATGTTTTTTTTTTTTCAACGATTCAATAATTATGTATGTGTATGCATTTTAAATGAAGACCTCATATATTGTCAAGCCAAAAAATGTATTATTGTGAAATGACAGAGTGACATTTACATCAGCGCCGTATATCGAATTAATTTCGCTTGGCAAAGGGGGAAATATTTTGACAGATAGTACTCGATCCTTTGAAACACAAGATTCCTGATATCAATTTTGTGACGAAAATAGTTGGGTAGATAATTTTTCTGTGTACTGTGAATAAAAACCAAATATATATTTGTATACTCAAAACGTTGCCAAAATTCCTCCCTTTTTACTTTCAGTTCATACTGACGCAAAGAAGCAACGTTCTGAATATTCAAATATACATTAATAATAATAATAATAACTGCACCGAACAGGGCTCTTTCGCCTTGGTGGTTTATTCAAAATAATTTAAATAAATACAATATAATTAAATTTCTACATCAAGCAGTTTTGAAAGTGATAAATAATAATTACACTGTGCGTCATTTCTTAACTTTAAAAATGTGATGGAGACGAGACCCACCATTTTTACATAATTTGGGTATGCTGATTTCAATGGCATCACCCGTTTTTCTCTATCACGTCAGGATTTTCCACAATTTTCCTAGAGAGTTTTCCGGAAAACCAAAATTGGCTGTTTATCACAGAGAGAAAATTTACACGAATACACTTACAGGTTCTATATAATTTTTGACATTTTACGTATTGTGTATAATCAACAGAGATATTGTACACTGTCTGTATAATTCGCTATTTATTCATCTGTCAACTCATCTGGCAACATTTTAGATGCGCTGACTTATAAATCAATAGCGAATTATACAGACAGTGTACAATATCTCTGTTGATTACACAGAATACGTAAAATGTCAAAAATTATACAGATCCTGTAAGTGTATTCGTGTAAATTTTCTCTGTGTTTCAAATTCATGCAATATCCCAGAGGGGTGACCTATCAGGTGTTGTAGAACGGTTCATGTTAAGAGTAGTAATGTAGACCGGTCATGCAATTTGTTGTGCATTCAGCACGAACCGGTTCAGTGTGGCGCTGGCCACACTGACTGACAGCATTTGTGACATTTTATGTATGTAATCGAAATGTTCTGAATAAAGGTTTAGTCTTAAAGCAACAATCGAACAAGTCAGTCGTCTTCATTATTGACCAAATGGTCCTTCGAATCGAGCGGTATTGTGCGGAATCGAATAAAATTAATTTATGAGCAGAAATAAAAATTATTTGAGCGGAAGCAATTAAAAATCAATTGTTTTGAGCAGATTTTTGAGCGGATTTAGCGGAAAAGAGCAGAAATAAATATATTTTATCCAAAAACGAGCAAATTAAGGGAAACGTTTTTTTTCTCTTTTCGACGGTGCAGAAAAATAGTTTTTTTATCATTCGGCAGTTCGTAGCCATTTTGTCAAACACAATTTGGTGTACAAAGGTGCGGACAAATATTTTTCTATTATTTTTTTTAGCGGATCGTGGATAATTTCGATGTGTTTTACACGAAATTAGTTAGAAAAAAAACACATACACTTGTTTTTCTCTTTCTCAACAGCGCAGTTGAACAATATTCATTTTGTTATTGCAGTACATTGATGGCCGTTTTGACTCGAATTTGGGCGAAAGGCACGGAAAATAATTTTTTGGAGCAGATTTTATGCAGTATTGAGCGGTTAAGCAGCAGCGCAGAATAATTTCAATAATTTTCATTTGAAATTAACAAGAAAAAATACATCGGTAGACATTTTGACTCGTACCAATTTTTTGAGCGAATGGTACGAAAAACAAAGTTCATTTGAGCAGATTTATGCGGTTTCGAGCGATTTTTTTTTTAAGAAAAAAAGAAAAAGAGCGGCTATTAATTTTTTTATTGGTTTGTTTATCGTCACAGTCATTTAGAGCGGAATAATGAGCGAAACCCCAGAAGAAAATCGACGAAAGACACATATCAACGCGATAAATAGAATAAAGTCAGACGTTGAAACGAGCGGATTTTGTGCTGCAAACTCGATTGAACTTCAAGCAAAACGAGTATTTTAAAAATCATTTGGTGACTTCACGGAAGAACACCAACGCTTCGTGCAATGGGTTCCAAAGGGAAAATTGGCCGAGCAAGACAATTTATATAGTGCGGTCGAAGAGATTTATCAAACAGCTATTATGAAATTCCGAATACAAATAGCTGATGTCGAGGCTCGGGAATTGAGGAAAGAAAGAGAAATAACGATTCGATAACGGCAGATAGTGAAAGAGACAGTGAGGGTGAGCGGAAAAAAAGGCCAAATTGGCGCTTAAAGTCTGAAGTTCATCGTGCCGAAAATGAGACAAAACCTCACTTATCTCAAAAATCACACGGTCGTTCGCCCCAACCTCACTTTTCGAATCAAACACGAAGTAGTGAAACACAACCTCACTTTTCAGCGAAACCACATGGTCAAAAAACACAACCTCACTCTTCGGTAAAAGTACATGGGCGGTCAACATAACCTCATTCTTCAGTGGGTTGGTCAACAAAACCTCAATTTTCGGTGAAACCACATGGTCGAAGAACACAACCTCACAAAATGCAAGAAAAATGTGCTGAAAAACGTGGTCGTCAAAACACAACCTCACAAATCGTCAAAATTTCGTGTACGTGATGCTCGTGAGCATTTGTGGTTATTTATAAGAGCGGTTAAACGACATTCTTCGTTCAAAGGTCATCAAGTGCGGACGCATTTAGCTAGCGACATTTATTATGTTTAATTTTTTTTCCATTTCAACGATTGAATTCACGTTGAATACTTTAAAGTGATTTTTATCTCGAATTTGTTTTTTTTTAATAATTTTCATCTTATTATAAGTGCGTTGAATAATATGTTGAATATTTTGTAATAAGAGTGCTGGACTTTGAACGAGCATAAATTTCGTCAATATTTTGAAACATTTGTGCAGAATTCTCCGGAAATATTATTTTAAGCGGATTTCTTCGGAAATATTATTTTGGACAGATTTTCAGGAACTATCGTTCGGAGCGAAATTTTCGAAATTATTACTTATGCGGAATACTTGGATATTATTATTTTAAGCGGATTTCTTCGGAAGTATTATTTGTGCAGATCCTTCGGGAAAGCGGAATTCCTCAGAATTATTATTATTAGCGGATATATTTGAGCCGAACATTGATGCTTAATCAAGCTTACATGTTGATATTTTTGAGCTAAACGTTGGGTTGAAAAGCGAATTTCTTCTCCATCTTATATTTGAAACATTGGCGCAGAACATTTTTTGAATTATTACTTTGAGCTGTAAACTTAGCCATAAGGTAACAATTTGGACTTGATTGTTATACATTGGGCAGAATTTTTGATTTAGTTTCTTCACAAAATGGAACTAAATAGAAGGGAATCACAGAGAGCAGTCATTGCGCGAATACACCGTTTTACTCAAAGCGATGAAGTAAACCGAGTGCTGCATGAAAATGTGCGCATTTTAAAACAAGCATTTGAAAGGTATAACACAGAACATATGGCTGTTGTTGAAAATATTGCGCGGGCGGCAGATTTGGAGGTACAAGATGATGCTCTCCAAGCAGCTCAAGACTTGTACATACAAGCATTGGTTGCATTAGAAACACGAATAGAAACATTAGAAACAGAAGCAGAAGAGCGAGATAGAGAGCGGGAGGTAGCCAGAAGGAATGAAGAACGGCAAAATGGAACCGATGAAAATATCGGAAATCCTGATCAAGAAAACGCAAACGGTGCGGCATTTAATAACAATGATTTGGGCGGAATACAACATCGTCCACGCATGGAAAGAGATGATTTTCTATTGGATCATTTCAAACCACCAAAGTTTAATGGTTCTTATGCGGCATGGACAGAATGGCGATCTGCATATGATAGTATGATCCATAACAGTACACTTAACCCAACTCGGAAGCTATACTTACTAAAGCAATGCTTGGTTGGTAATGCGGAGCGGGTATTGAGTGGCTGGCAAGTGGTGGGTGAAAGTTATGCTGAAGCCTACAATACACTTTGTGCGGTATACGAAAATAATTACAGAATAATCATGTCATATTTGGATCAGCTATTTAATATGCCACGATTACAACAAGAAACACATGATGGTATTCGGTTAATGATTGATACAACAAATAGTGTCATCAGACAACTACGTGTGCGCGGTTCTCCTGTTAATGATTGGGATCAGGTGATAGTCCACACTTTACTATCACGTATGGCACCTCGTTCATTGGCAGTGTGGGAAGAAACGGAAGAAGGGAATGAAATGCCTTCGGTGCAGAATGTCTTGGATTTTCTTACGAAACGTGCGCGGGCTCAATTGAATCGAGAGCAAATACAACCAAGCAACAGAAATAACAATGGTGGTCAGTCCAACTCTAATAATGAGCAGAACAGAGTAGAAAATTCAAGTGGTAACTCAAATTCGAAACAATCGATCACTCAACACGGAGAGAGCGAGCCACAATGGAGAATTTCGTGTAATAACTGTCAACTTCTACATCCTATGTTTCGATGTTCAAGCTTTTTAGAAATGAGCGTGCCAGAGCGGCAAAATCGAGTGCGGGAACTAAATTTATGTTCAAATTGTTTTTCGAATGGTCATAAGGCAGGAGCACCGAGCTGCAAAATGAGTCCCTGCAAAAGATGTAACAGGGGTTTATATCACAATACACTTCTGTGCAGTGTTCCAATGGCATCATCAAATGCATTGGCAGTTAATAATTGGCAAATTCCAACTTGGAGCGAACAACCACATGCATTGGGTTCACAGCCAATTTCAACAACTGTGTACCAGCCACCGGGCATTCAACATTCATCTCTCAATCCGGCAGCGCAAAGCTATTTTATCAGTAATCCAAGTGACAATCAGACCGGAGTTTTGAGTAACAACCCAAACAATTCAAATTTTTACTAGCAGTATTTCAATAGCAGATAAGGTCGTGCGGTCAGTCGAAATTAGAACACCCATGGCAGATTTAGTGCGGCCCACCAACAAATTGGTTCCTCTTCCGATCAAGCAAACTGATCAATAGTGAAGGACGACTATGAGCAACCGAAGATAAACATCCGCGGAAGAGTGTCAACCCAGGCAAATCATATTATACAGCTGAATAAATGATTTAAGATTAATTTAATTGAAATTGTATTGAAATTGTATTGAAATTATATTGAAATGTAAAAACCGGAATATTATAATATCTAGATTTAAGTTCTTGAAAAAATAGATTTCCTTTCGTCTCCTCACTGCGTTCAGGGGCGGAAGGATGTTAAGAGTAGTAATGTAGACCGGTCATGCAATTTGTTGTGCATTCAGCACGAACCGGTTCAGTGTGGCGCTGGCCACACTGACTGACAGCATTTGTGACATTTTATGTATGTAATCGAAATGTTCTGAATAAATGTTTAGTCTTAAAGCAACAATCGAACAAGTCAGTCGTCTTCATTATTGACCAGTTCAAGTATAGTAAAGCCACACAATTCGTTTTAAAAAAAATTGAGTCATTTGAAAACAAATTGATTTGGTTATTCCCCTTTGAAGTCCTCATTTTGAAGTAAAATTGGTATCCATTCAAACTCTCTGAAAATGAGTATTTGGGTTTTTTTTT